TGCTGAGGTTGAGGAACACTGTTCTAACCTCTCCTTCTACATCTTTTCTGCAGCGCACTTGATTTCAAAGGGGGGCAAAGACCTCTCCCTGGGCAACTACACGCCGACGTGGCGCTTGCAACGCAAACTCGCCCACATTGCCTTCCAGCGTCGCCTGCGGGGAGACATGGAGCAGATCGTGCAGGACCAGGCTCGACACCTCTCCAAGGTGACCTTAAAGATGGGTCTCTTGACTTTATTTCCTTCCTGGTATTCTCTTTGCATCGTGCTGAAGCAAGGAAGACTCACAGTGGTTTATAGCAAGCCCGTAAAAACATAAAACGGATTAAAACGTCTGCAGAAGGCATCATTAGCATCAGTTGTGAAGACTTTAACACAAACAGAAAACCTTTGTTATGGCCAAAGACCAGCAAAAACAATACAAGATGAAAAGGGTATAGAAGTATAAAATTATAATATAAAAAGCAAAGGAAGAAACAATGTGGGGGACACAGACACACAGGACCCATCATAGGGAATCCGATCCTACATAAGAATAGTATTAAAATATGGTAGAAATGTGTATTTTTACCAAAAATACATACAAAAAAAAATTCATATATAGATATGCAAAAATTCATACGTACGTATGCAAAAATATATACAAGAATATATATAACCTTAAAGATGGGTCTCTTGACTTTATTTCCTTCCTGGTATTCTCTTTGCATCCTGCTGAAGCAAGGAAGACTCACAGTGGTTTATAGCAAGCTCGTATTCCTTCTTAAAATGAGGGATTTTCCACCACTGTCGTCAGAAAAAAACTCAGATTCCAAAAAAGGCAATTCAGAGAATGTGAATTTATATATATAAAAAGTAGCACAGAAAGCAAGTAAATATAAATACATAAAACAAGTAAGCATAAAAGCAGTTGCCAAAGGTGGCTAGACTATACTGTATATATTATTTTTTGTATCATTTTTAGTTGTTTTTATTGTTTTAGCATTGTTCGCCACCCAAAGTCACTTGGTTGAGATGGGCGGCTATAGAAATTAAATAAGTAAATAAATACAGATGAATGAATATACAACACAGATACAAGATAAAATGGGAACCTAACCGTTATGCTGAAATTTGAAAATGGTGACAACTAAGTCGTCACCAAAAGCTTAAAGGAAGTTTTAAGCAGTTTTGGGCACAAAAGATCATAGAATCACAGAATCCTTGGGTTGGAAGGAACCATGGAGGTCTTCTAGTCCAACCCTCTGCCCAAGGAAGGAGTCCTCATACCATCTCAGAGAAATGGTTGCCCAATCTTTTCTTGAAAATCTCCAGCGATGGAGCACCCACAACTCCAGGAGGCCAGCTGTTCCACTGCTTAGTAGTTCTCACTGTCAGAAAATTCCTCCTTATTTCCAGGTTGGGTCTCCCTCTAACCAGCTTCCACCCACTGCTTCTTGTTCTACCCTCTGGTGCTATGGAGAAGAAATCGATGCCTTCTTCCCTGGGGCAGCCCTTCAGGGATTGGAAGACTGCTATCATGTCTCCTCTCAGTCTTCTCTTTGTTAAGTTAAACAGACCTAGTTCCTTTTGCCGTTCTTCATAGGATAAAAGATGGATGGATGGATGGATGGATGGATGGATGGATGGATGGATGGATGGAT